TATATATATATATATATATATATGTATATATACATGTATATATATATATTTATATATATTTATATATATATATTTATATATATATTTATATATATATATATATATATATATATATATATATATATATATATATATATATATATATATGCACATATATATCTATAAGTATATCTATCTATTTATCTATCTCTATGTATACATATGTATGTATATATGTATATATATATATATATATATATATATATATATATATATATATATATATATATATATATATATATATATATATATATATATATATATATATATATATATATACATATATATATATATATATATATATATATATATATATATATATATATATATATATATAGATAGATAGATAGATAGATAGATAGATAGATAGATAGATAGATAGATAAATGTATATATATAAACACACACACACATGTATGTGTGTGTGCAAAGCGAGAGAGAACGCGATCCCTCGGCCGCAGGAGCCGAGTGAGCGGCGTTGAGCCACCGAGCGGCGCGGCAGCCGAGCCCATACACCGAATTCTCAATATGATTTTCGAGAAGCCGAGGCGAGAGTCCTCAGCCGGCACTCCAATGCAGACGGAGAAACATTATCATAATGGGAAATCGACGCTATAGGTGCAATAATGGCGGCGGGAATGTTTGCCTTTTTGGGTTTTGTGTTCCTTTCGCTTCTGTCTCGCTCTCATCCGTAAAATATCGCCCGGTTGGAAGACCTGAATGCGTACCACTGCCTGCCACAAACCGACAATGCAGAACCCAAAGTGAAAAAAAAAATAAAAACAGAAAGGAGAGACTAGCCACAAACTCGTCCAACCTTCCTTCTTCCCTCCCATCCTCCCTCCTTTCCTCCCTCCCTCCCTCCCTCCTTTCCTCTCTCCCTCCCTCCTCCCGGCACGAAAAAAGAGTCCTCCTTCCCAATTTCTGGTGGATTTAGAGGAGAGAGCGTGCGGGCGCGCGAGCGGGCAAGTGTTACGGTTGGCGCGCAGTTCAAACACTCCACTGTTTTATTGGCGCCCGCGGCACACTCTGCGGACCTGCAACGCCGCGCTTCATAATATCAAAGAAAATCAAGAAGATCCAGACCGCCTCCCTCCCTTGCCCATCCTCCCCTGCCCCTCCCTCGCGGGCCTCCCTGCCCTCCCCCTGCCCTCCCCCTCTGGCTTTTACTCCCGAGACCTCTCAATAAAAGATGGAGGCTCTTCCTCGATGCGGCGGGCGGCGGCGCGGGGTGGGTTGCGCTGCTGCTGGTGGCCTGATGCCGCCCTGATTTCGGACTCGGGGAAATCTAGAGAGGCTGGCTGTACGTCAGTTATGTGTGTATGTATGTACGCCCAGTCATGCTCACGCACCCTCACACACAGACACACATACGTACGAATGTCACACACAGTCACACACACACAAAGATAGACAGATAGAGAGAGAGAAAGAGAGTGAGAGTGAGAGTGAGGGATTGAGAGAGAGAGAGAGAGAGAGAGAGAGAGACAGAGAGAGAGAGAGAGAGAGAGAGAGAGAGAGAGAGAGAGAGAGAGAGAGAGAGAGAGAGAGTGAGAGAGAGAAGAGAGAGAGAGAGGAGAGAGAGAGAGGGTAGAAAGAAGATAGAAAAGGGAAGCGAAGAGAAACGACATAACATATAACAGCAACTGCTTTCCAGTTTCTCTTCACTATCTGTCTTCTTCTCCCCTCTCTCATCCTTCCCTCTTCCTCCCCTAATTCAGTTCGCGTTTTACTGTTTCTCACTCCTCTTTTCGGTTCCTTCCTCCCTCTTCCTCTGCCTTTCCCTGCTTGCCCCGAAGCCGCTGGGTCTTTCCTCTGTTTACCTGTTTTTCCATCTTCTCTCTTCCCCCTATTTCTTTTACCGTCTTTCGTCTTTCTCTTACTCTATCGATATTGTTTTCCCTTTTTTCTGACACCCTTTTCTTTGAGTCTGTGTCTATCTGCTTTCTCTCACTCTCTCGCTCTCGCTCTCGCTGTCTCTCTTTTTCTCTCTTTTTCTCTGTCTCTCTCTCTCTCTCTCTCTTTCTCTACCTCCCTCCCTCTCTCTCCCTCCCCCTCCCTCTCCTCTCTCTCTCTCTCTCTCTCTCTCTCTCTCTCTCTCTCTCTCTCTCTCTCTCTCTCTCTCTCTCTCTCTCTCTCTCTCTCTCTCTCTTCCCGGCTTCCTCTTTG